GTTCACTAATATTACTTTTCTTGAAATAGGGGAGGGGGGAGTAGGGAGTTCACTAATATTACTTTTACACATTCCTGTAAGGGGAAAGGTGATTTTCACTCATTTTAAAGATTTATAAAAAAAACAGAAAATATGCCACATTGTTTTTTATTTTTATCAAACAAAAAATTAAAATTAAAAGATTATTTTGGTTAAACACTATTTTTTGATTTAATTAAAATTTCTTTCACATCAGATACTCATCATAGATATCATTCTCATCCTCAGTGATATCTTCATTTTCAGCAGCATTCTCAGCACCAGGAATCAATCTAAAAACATTAAAGTTGAAAAACATCATGTTGGGATTTTTTTTATCTTTAACAAAACTGTCCAAAATATTATAAGACTTTAAAAAGTCACCGCAAAATACTGCAAAGGTTTCAACATTTAAAAACTGTGTTCTGAAAAAGTTAGATTTTTATGGAATTATGCAAATTTTTGGTTTTTTAGATTTTTTGCATATATTTTCTCTTAGGGTTGAAATTTGTCCTAGTGTAAGGAAAGTAAATGTTTAGAATACACAATTTTAAAAGTAAAACCTCTGGAATTTTTGTGGAACCTTTTAAACCTTTAAAAGTAAAAAAAATATAAAAAAATCCCCCCCCCCCTATTTTTGTTGACACTATAGTTTATGTATGAATCTTCATGTATCTACTCACCGAAATGTTTGATTTTCAACCTCCGGTGCAGGAGTTGATAGTTCTATAATAGTAGCTTCAGGATCAACAGGAGTTGATAGTTCTATAATAGTATCTTCAGGATCAACCAACCCACGAGTCACACCAAACTAAAATAAATTGCAAGTAAGACTTAATTCCAATATGTTATCATCATGACGACTTTCACAAAAGAGCTTTTGAGAAGAACATCATAATTTAGAATTTCTAACATGTAACCAGATGCATTTTTTCATACTTGTGCGTAAAAAACAAAACTTTAGGATCTAGGAGGTCACAAAGTTGTATCAGTGCTGCTTAAATTTTACCTTTTCTTTCTCTTGCGGAGATGGAGTGTTGCTGTAATCCTCACTCCAATATTCTGCTTTATAACCACCAGGAGCTGGAATTGCCTGAATAGACACAAGGCAGAAGAGAAGGCATATTCCGAAGATCTGCATGTTTTACTCTTAATGCTTGGATTGGAATGAAAATCTGTCATTACTGACAGAGATATAAAGGAAAAATTTGTCATAAAATCTATTTTTTATTGATTTATGAGAAATATTCATTGACATTTAACTATCAAACTAAAATCAAGTTTGTCAGTTTTATTTAACTAAAGAAATTTTCATGTTTAAAAGTAGACAAAAATCATTAAATTTTGAATTAAAACTTTTTATAAAATTTTGATCCAAAGTTTCTAGAAAAGCATTTCAGATTTTTCTTTACATTTATAACGTGAACAATAATCCTTTGAAAAATGGGAAATTTACAGCATGTAAAAATTTGAAAAAAAAATATTTTTTATCTAAAGATTTATTGTTTTTAATAAATTTTCAGTGTTGATTTCTATGTTCTTCACATAAAATTTAAATTTTGAATTAGATTTTCTTTATAGAATTTTAGAATTGATGAAAAGGTAAGGATCTTGCATGTCATGGATTAAAGTGCCATTTATCAATGCAGAAGTCCTACGATGTATTATTTACTCTTGTAAAACTAGAACCAATGAAAACTAAAACCTCCTCTGCATGATGTAATATTCCAACGGTTTATTCCAAGGGGGAATTTCCATTAGTTCTAGTTTTTCTGAAAAAAATCAACCATCATAAAATTAGTGGAATTTAATTAAAATTAATACATACTAAAAACCAGAATTTAAAAAAAATGCTCATTCTCTGTAAGAAATAAAAATTATATAAAAATGAAAAATGCTGTCATTATTGGATTAAAAACTGAATGGTTTCCCGATTTAACGCTTTAAGCCTGTCATCTTAAATTTGTCCATTACCATCAAGTTAAATTGCTAATTCCTATTCCTAGCTGGATATCCAACACAGAAATTCTAGGATCTCTTACCACTTAAAAATCTACAAAGGTTGACAAAATCCACCAAATCTAAAAAGGAAAATTGAAACATGGCGGATTTTTTGTCTTGTTATAGAATTTTTATTTTGATGAATCTTTCTCCTGTTGGCGCCCTAATGTCATAGATTTTTACTGTTCCAAGAGGGAGGGGGGGGGGGGCTGATTCCCAATAACCCCCCTGAATACGCCTCTGTGTGTGAAAAATGGGAGGGAGAAATTTTCACTATCTAATAAAAAATAAATATAAATCTCTTTTAAACATTTCGATTGTCTATCTATCCTAATTACTATCTATTTACTAATGTTAGTTTTGTCTTTACAAAATCCGAACATAGGATAGCGTAAATGTAAATGAACCTGTACATAGCTAGGTTGAACCTATCAGTTGGGGTTATGAAACATAGGATAGTGTACATGTAAATGACCCTGTACATAGCTAGGTTGAACCTATCAGTTGGGGTTATGAAACACTTTCTCTCTTGAAACCACCCATTTAGGATTATAGAAACCTTCTACCTTATAGAAACTGTCTATTTACCAAGGTGAGCGGTTTCTACATAGAGACTCCCATATTTTCATTAGAGACCCATAGATTATCATTTGAGACCCCCAGAAGGTTGCATTGAGTTGAAACCCTAGTTGCACAATGATTAATAATTGGTAAAAACGAATCCTTATATTCTGAAAGGTGAATAATAATTATTTATTTGTTTCTAATTTAGATACAGCATATAATTCCTCAATGTTCAATATTAACTCTTCAAACTCCACAAGGATAAAAAATTTGCTTGCAAAGGTCACTGCCATTAGTTGCACTGCATCTTCCATTGGTGCATATAGATTGAATTCCATTGATCAGATTAATACCATTTATTACACTGTTTATACATGTTAGATTACAGATTGGAGCAGTCGTTGGTGCAGCAGGGGTTGGAGGTTTGGTTGTTGGAGCAGTAGTGGTTGGAGGTTTGGTTGTTGGAGCCGCAGTGGTTGGAGGTTTGGTTGTTGGAGCACATGGATATTTCAAAATACTGCAAAGATCATTTCCATCTGTAGCCCAGCAAAAACCTTGGCTGCAGGTATAAGGGACTGGGAGACCATTCAATGATGTCAATTGATAGTTTCCAGAAAATGACCCATAACATCTTCCATTGGCGCATGTAGATTGAATTCCATTGATTAGACTAATACCAGCTAGTGTACCGTTTATACATGTTAGATTACAGATTGGAGCAGTCGTTGGTGCAGCAGTGGTTGGAGGTTTGGTTGTTGGAGCAACAGTGGTTGGTGGTTTGGTTGTTGGAGCAGTAGTTGCTGGAGGTTTGGTTGTTGAAGCACATGGATTTCCCAAAGCACTGCAAAGATCACTTCCATCTGTAGACCTGCAAATACCTAGGCTGCAGGTATAAGGGATTCCATTCCATACATAGCTTCCAGAAAATAACCCGTAACATTTGAGATCACATGCAACACCTGTAGTTGGAGGTTTGGTTGTAGGAGCAGTAGTTGCTGGAGGTTTGGTTGTTGGAGCAGTAGTTGCTGGAGGTTTGGTTGTTGGACAGCTTNTGTGGTTGGGGCAGCAATAGTGGGAGCAACAGTTGGTACTCCGCATGGAAATTCTAAAGCACTGCAAAGATTACTTCCATCTGTAGAAGTGCAAATACCTAGGCTGCAAGTTGCAGGGAGACCATTCAATAGATAGTTTCCAGAAAATGTCCCCACACATCTGAGATCACATGCACCACTTGTAGCTGGAGCTTGGGTTGGATTAGTTCCTGAACACCATCCATCTGCAATATTTGTGTTGATCCAGTCCAAGTAGTTGTTCACTCTAACATATACTCCAGCAGTGTCAGCATTAGCACAACCTATACCATAGGATACAACACCTACTACTGTGTATCTTCCATCCTCCTTAACAACCAGAGGTCCACCGCTATCTCCCTGACAGCTATTAGTTCCTGCTGCATAAGCGCACATCCTTGTTTTTCCAATATCTCCATATTTTGGTAAGCAGGTTGAATCAGAGTTAGCTACAATTTTAAGCGTAGTTTCTTTCAGTAAATTACTAATAGACCCTCCGAAAGATGTAGTGCCCCAACCTGAAACAACTGCTTGCTGGCCTACATAAAGATTATTTGGATCAGTAGGTAGGCAGGCCGGTACAACATTGGCGTTAAATACAACATCAGAAGACAAGCGGAGCAGAGCAATATCATTATTGATAGTTTGTGCATCATAGTCATCTCTCATAATAATATTGGCAACAGGAATATTCTGTTGTGGTATTGTCTCAATAGCAGAATTTAAACTGTAATCTCCAACTTTGACCAACGCACTCTTAGCCATGACACCTCCACTCTTAACACAATGCATTGCAGTCATGATATACCTTTTATTGATCAACGTGCCTCCGCACATAGAGCAGCCATCAGCAAAACAGGTCTGAACATATACTTGATATGGAAGCTTGTTCTGTGGGGTAACTACAGATCCACCAACAATTCTTCCAGCTGCTGGATTAGGATTGCTCACAGCATACCCACATCCACAATCTGTTGTAGCTCTGTCCAAAGCCATCTTAGGAGTCAGCAGACTGGGATCAACAACCTCAGTTTCATTTGTAAGAAGCTGGACCTCTAGCTTTGGAGTCAATAGGCTTGGATCAATTTCTTCAGTCTCATTTACAAGAAGTTGAACTTCAAGTTTTGGCAAGATATTCCTTGATTCGGTTTCATTGCCAATCAAAACAATATCAAGCTTAGGTTGAATATTTTTGGCCTGGGATACTCCAGCCAACAGAAAAGTCAAACACAAGACAGTTCTCATCTAAAAATGTTCATTTTAGCCATCAAATCTAAATTCAACATCTAAACCTATATACTTTTATGGTAGGGTTTCCATTCGCAAAACTTTTGCGCAATTTTTGTGGAACAAAACGCAAAATTTTTCTTTCTTTGCGGATCTGTTTTGCGCGAAAAAACAACAATTTGCGCAATCATTTGCAAAAGTCATTTCGTGCAAAATTGTCCTATTCCGCTTTTTCGAAACTCAAGTTTTGCGCAATTCTGCAACTAGAGTTTTGTGCAATTCCGCAATTTCGTAAAAATCAAACGGTTGGTGACGGTGTGTGTTTCTTAGAATTCAATTCTTCCAGTGCTGGAAGGTTTTGTGCCAAAACGAAACAGATTGTCCAGTAAAAGTCTCGACAGTTTTAGTTTTGGACATACATATTTCCTAAAAGTGGATTCTTTAGGCATTGGTTACTTTCTTGCATTATTTTATATGAGATTAAAAAGATTTCTGATATTTGATTAAAAAATATAACTCATACTTGATTAGACAAAGCTTTTAAGGGTCACTTGAAATTATTTAATAGGATTAAAATATTGCCAAGTTTCACACTCTCTAATTTCTATTTTATTAATTTTGGTCCCATAATTTAAGCTTTTTGTAACTAGAAGTAACCAATTGAGTGTAGTATAATCATTCTCATATGTTAATATTTTTTTTATGTATGGAATAAATCTTCAGTTGTTTAATTCTAAGCTTAGAATATCGATTTTTGACAATTTGCCTAAAAAGTTACATTTTGCGTAAAACTTCCGGTTTTGCGCAAACTAAAATTTTGTTTCATGCACAACTTTCGCAAAAAATATTTCTGGTTTTGTGTAAATTGCGCAAAAAAAATAGCGCAAAACTCATTGCGTTTCATGGGCAAAATAGCGCAAAAGTTGGCAAGCCTTTTTGTGGAAACCCTATAATTTAAAGTGTGTCAGATTTAGTTATTACAATGGAAACATCATAAAAGCATAGAATATGGAGAAAATGGAGTTTAAAAGTTATAAATGAATACAACAAAAAGGCCTGATTTTGAATGTCTAAAATAATGATATTACTGCACCTTGAGAGAAGTAGACTTGAGTAACTTATCACAGTAGAATATATAGAACTTTAACACTTGCATGACTATTTGCTCAATTACACAAATACTTAGTTTAACAAAGCTTTGAAAGGAATTGCTGACAGAGCAGAACTTTTTTATTACTGAATATTTATTTTATCTGGACTGAACTGGTTACTACAGAATATTGATTCAATACTAAAAAAACATGTAATCTTGTAGGTTTATTTAAATGTTTTCAGCTAGGGTTTTAATGTTGGAGGTTCCTTATTTTATATGTGAACACAAAATTTTGAAGAAATCTGCAAACAGCTTCTCAGCTATAGCAAAGGTAATAATGATATTAGATTATTAATTTTATGATTCTACTATGGCTTTCATAAAAAATTTTCCAGAAATATGTTCCTAAACAGCAAATTAGTTTATAAATTATTTTTTTACATTGTTTTGTCTGGGTTTTTAAATAATTGTAAAATAGATGTTTCTTCTCCTGTCTGAAACAACCGGTGAAATATCACAAACACTTTACACTCGTATTTAAAAATTGTACCATAGTAAAATGTCTCATTGGTATCAAATGAAGCCTTAAATAGTGCACTTTCAGCTCAAATATGTTACTTAGCTGGTCTCTCCCTTTAAATCAGCTACATCAAATCAAAAATCATAAGTAATAGTTTGGATACTTTGGAGTAAAATTTGAATTGTTTATCCTTATTTTCTACCATCCTTGTCTGGCCCATACACAAACTAAAATCCTTAGTTATTAATGCACTTAATATCATTTATAAGGATCAAAATGTGGCACATTCAGGAGAAAATAGAAAAAAGGGAAGGGGGAGGGTAAAAGAGGTGTTATGGACAGTTAAAAATCAAATTTACAAACAATTTATTATTCAATTGTTGTTACTTAATATAAAACTGATCCATGGAAATGTTTTAAAACTTTTTTCAAATTTTTGATTTTTTACATATTTTAAAAATTTTTATGAATAATATTCTAAATTCAGAAAAGAGCTTGAGCCCGTTAATGATGGGCAAAAAGGACAGTTTATTTATATCCGGTAGCTTTTATTTTTTGAAAATTCAAAAACAAGAAAAAAAATTTCATTTGTGTTTGATAAAAGAACAGTATATTGAAAACATACAATTAACAGGTTATAGGGAATCTTTAAATCAAGGAGGCGTCTTTTGTTTTTAAAAAATATAAAATTTTGGATTGGGGAATTATTTTACAACAAAGAACAAGTAATAGACAACTATCTTTTTCAGGAATCATAAGATACATTATATCGGAACTATTATGGAAAGTATTGTTAATATTGAACACTTACTCTCCATTTCCAATGTGAGTTTTTTAAGTTAAAGATCACTGTATTTCATTAGTCCCTGCAGGACATGACCATTGATCAAGAATAAACAACTGAATCCATTGAAAGAGATCAATGCCTAGTCCTTTAATTATAGTAGTCCATGGACCATTCAGTTGTCAACTAGCACTGGGAGGGTTGGGACATAGAAAGCAGTGCTCCCCTCTAAGTAGCTAGGCCAATATTTGACCAGGGAGCGGAGCACCACACCTCAAAAACAAAGAAAGAAAATATAGTACAGCTCACCAGAATCAAGAAAAATAGAAACCTTAAAAAGAAGAATCTTGATAGGTAGGTTACCATGCAATAAGATGCTGGGTTTTTACTCTGGCGACTGCAATATTCTGCCGACCATGAAGACTGGACTACTATCATGTCAAAGCCACATCCTGGAGCCACAAAGAAAACAACTCCCAATTTTGTAATGATGTGCAACTCTGATGGTAGATTTTGTAGATTGGGAAAAGCACTATAAAAGTAGGGATGTTCTATGCTACGGCAGTCCCTGGATACCCTCCCTTCCTGACCTATCCAAACTTCCAAGTCCTACACCTCAACCCTACCTATTTGTCACAAACAGCATTTTTAAACGGATTCTTAGTGGATAAATCTTGTTGGCTCCTTTTTTAAGACCACTAGGCGTAACCAAATTTTAGACATGGAACTAAACATAAAATTTCAGAAACCTACAAACAAGAAACAAGAAGAAAAAAAACAAATAAACAGGAAAAATGGTGGGGAACTATGATGATAAGTTCTACACCAGCAATTATCATTTTTCCCATTGGAAAATGGAGACTTATATGGAGATAGTGAGATAGGGTGGGGAAAGGTCCCCCCCTCCATTTTACCTCCATTTCAGAAACTATTTCTTAAGTATGTGTTGAAGCTCAATCAACACTGTATTAACCTACAATCAACAAACAAATTTTTCTTTTCTTTCAAAATTACCAGAATCAGGGACAGACAACAGAAGGAATAGAAGAAAGGAAGGAGAGAAATCAAAAATCAAATCAGAATTTGTCTGTATCAACTCTATCAACTGTATCAAAATTTAAAGTTTAGTTACCTTACAAATATCCAAATTAAGTTGATTGTTAACTATATCTGACTAAAGTTAGTTATATGATGAAATATTAAAGAAAGACATAATGTTTTAAATGTATTCGTAATAATTTTACAACAAAATGTTTACAAAGGTCATATAAATCAATTATCAGGATCAAACTAATAAATACTTATGGTCTGTCCTGAATTTTTTAGTAGGTGAAAATTTTCCTCCTGAATGTATATTATGTCAACCTAATGATTTGGAGTAATTAATGATATTTATTGAATCAATAGGAAAAATATATAAAACAAATACAAAAATTTCTTGATCAATTAGTTCATTTGTGTCTAACAGCAAACCTGAAAGAAACCTAAATTTGATTTTATTCATGAACCTATATTAATAACAAGACAATTCATATTACATTGGCTCAATATTTTGTTCTGTAATGTAATGCAGTTGTCAGTATGTATCACACTGTATAATTGAGAGAACCCTATATTTTTTAAAGAAATTTTTAAAACCTCTACATAGTGTACTGAAGGTTTTACTATAACCAATTTATATTCTGGCTGTCGTTCATTCTATAAAAATAAGTTGTACTATTCAAAAAGTTTTAAGTGAAGTACAGGGTCCATATCAGAGAAGAACTTTAGTGGATCGTGGGCCCTAGAGTAAGCAGAAATGAGATGCTGTAGCTAAAATGTTTCAAACATAACTTTGCCTTCAAAGAATTGGGTATCATCAAATGATTCTTGTTTTACGATTTAAGAAATGTGGTCTGCTCTTTTTCTACTTTAAGAATTGACTGAGGTATTGAGAAATTTGTCTAAAATTTTAACTATAAAATATTAAGAAGGTTTTTTAAATCTTAGTATCTACAACAATTTTCATGAAACACAGAAAGAGGCTAAATTTTACAAAATATTAAAGACTTACAATGTTTTTCTTTACATCTTTGACAACTAATAACTTTACAAAGACAAATTGTAAGTCCAGAGTCCAATGTCTAACGTACTGCATGACACCCCAGCCATAAGATTACATCAAACCTAGTCTTGTAAAGGTGTCCCCAAATCTTAAGAAAAGGAGGCCTTTATTAATTGCTGAGATGAATAGCAATTAGGCAATTTAGATATTTGTAATAAACTAATAAGGACTTAAAACTCAAATGGATCTTAATAGGTTTTGAAAAGAAGGTTTATAAAGTAGGTTTATTTAGCTTTGGCTCGGAAAAAAGCAAACAGTTCAGGATTCAAAGATTAAACCACTAAAAGATGTTATTTGGCATATTAAATGAATATGTTTATACTGAACAATTCATGTGTATCATGTTTACTGGGAAGTCATAACTTGAGTATAAAAGTCGTATTTATATATTTAAACAAAACAAATATTAATCACATGATTAGAAGGGTTTCAGCAACAAGCCCTGTACTAAGAGCTGCCATGCAAATTATGGCGGACAAAGTATTTCTGATCTTAAGATATGAAAAACAAATTCTAAATATTTCTCTGTTCTCTGTTGTTATTGTAAAAATTTTATCTCTCTTTGAGGTTTAAACTTAACTTTCATCCTACCAGGGAATAGTTCTATCCCGTTTCAGGGATCTCACTGTCCTTCTTAACTAAAAGATATATATTCTTAACATTTCAACAATTTAAACAATTCAACAATTGATTTAAATAGTTAGGAAAACAAAATATTAACAAATGTGTTATACATATGAAATTATATATAATCAGACTATATAAAAATGGTTGCATTTAAGAGTAAACTAAAGTTATTTACAATTTTTGGTAAATATCTATCTTTGATTAACAATGTACAATTTCAACCTTTTTTAATTGATAAAATAGAATCTTTATGTATTGATGGGATAGTTGAGATTTACAGAACAGACAATATAAAATCTAAAATAAGTTTAAACCTAAATTTTCCAATGTTGTTTTAGAAAGATAAAATCACTAATTGCTTATCACTGGGTTACTTTTCACACACTATAAGAGAGTTTAAAATAGAGACTGACTAACCCATTATTATGTGTTATCAGGCTTTTTATAAACTTGCTTGTTTCTAGAAGCTTTTATTTTGCGCTGCTGTATAGTTTAAGTTTTTTTTTTTTTCGGGCATCATTTTATTCTAGACGATTCTTTAAAGTTCATATTTTTCATAGTTCTTTGGTCTGATAAGAAAATGGTAGGTATGATTTCCCAGCTCGTCTCTAGAAATTTCTGATAGATTTACTTGGTTTAGCTTGAGCCTAGTTACAGTTAAAAAAGGTTCTAGGTCTTTCCATGGACTTTTAGATATTTGCCTTGAAAATTGACAGTTATGAAAAACTAAACATGTTTTCCCAGGCCTGTAGATATATATATACATTCGTCAGAAATCTTTACATATAGAAAAAAATAAGTTTTACAGTCTATGATATATCCATACTAATATATATCCATGGATAAAACTAAACAGTCATTATAGGAAGTTAAAGTCAGCTGTTTTGCAGCTGACAATCTTTCATCAGCTGATTTTCCACAAATACAAGATGGTGTCATTTTTAATTTAAGTCATGCATTATTTAGAAAATTTCTTATTCATTGGAAAAATTACATGAACATCTTATACTTTGTCTTTCTAATATTCATTTATATCAAAGTTTGTTCTGCTTCTTAAAGTGAACATCAGTTCAGGAAAGTTGTATATGGTTTACCGTGGGTCAAAATGGCGTCATTAAAGTCAGCTGTTTTCATAAACCGGAATATTGGAAATCCAACACCTTTGATGGATAGATATATATTTACAGGGATACTAATAAAACAATGAAACTTTTAAAACAAATTTTTATATGCCTGGTTTACTACGGCTGCATATACTATTAACATTAAAAACTTTACTTGTACATGTAGACATCATCTTAACATAAAAATTATGAATTTGAAAAATGTAAGGTCATCAATAAATCTTACTCTTTGCGAATCATCATTTAGTGGCATTAAATCTGCATATCTTAGATAAACAAGTTATTGTAGTGCCAATTCTTGTATTGCTAAATTTTTGCAGAAATGGTAAATTCGGATAGAATTTGAATTTGAAAACTGAAAACTTTAATGCACAATTAGTTTTCTTTTATTGTTTTGAAATGGACATAAAGAAATTAAGCCTTTACCATAAATTTTCTAGTTATTATATCTTTGCAGCATAAAGGTGTAAACTTTAAATAGTTCAATACTTAGACTTCTTGATCCAACAGAGTTTATAGTTTAAATATAAAAAATCCACAAATTTGGTGTTTTAAGGGATTAGAAAATCAGAAATTTACTTTTGTCTATTTTTACAATTTATATTTATTAATTTAAATTCAAGATTGAAAGGCTATTTTATTTGGCAAAAAAAAGTTTTGAAGGGTGTGAAAATATAATTGTATACAAAGGTTGATTAAAATTTATTTTTGGTTAAACATTTTTCATATAATTAAAGTTTCTTGTTTTTAAATTGGATAACCATCCTTAATAACCTTGAGCATAATCCTTATCATTTTCATCATTCTCAGCATTATCTTCGTATTCAGCAGTTTTTTAAGCACCCAAAATCAATCTAAAGCTTGAAAAACAATTCTAATCTTGTTGGGAATGTTTAAAAGTTGTTAAAAAAAGTTTTATTTTGTTTAGTTTTAAATTGTCCAAAATGTTATCAGACTTTAAACTGTCACAACAAAATACTGTAAAGGTTTCAACATTTCAAAAATGTATTCTGGAAAAGCTTGATTTTATGAAATTATTCAAATTTTTTAGACTTTTAGATTTAAAGATTTTAGACAATGGTTTTGCATCTATCTTCTTTCAGTGTTAAAATTTGACAAAGTGTAAGGCAAGTGCATGTTTTTGAAATACACAATTTTGAACTATGTATGTTTTGCCGGTAGGGCAAAAAAGATTAGATTGATTTTGTTGGGAAAATTGGGAGGAAGAAAAGAGATAGGAGGAATGATGTAGATGAAGTTGATATGTTTGAAGGTGGGGGTGGTAGCTGTTGTATCCAATCTATCTAACACTTTCCATCTTAAACTTTTTATCTCTCTTCTCTGCTATCTGGTTGTTTAATGAGCACTATGATTCCGATGATTTATTAATGTTTATCCACGATCACATAGGTAGAACAAACTCGCTTAAAGTAAGCCAATTGCGAGAGGCTTAGTGGGATTTCTTAGCAACACTACATGATGGTGTGTGTTCTTTTTACTGGTCGGGCTTGTACTACTTAAAATCCTGGTTCGATTTCAGGGTAAAAATAGCAAATAACTATTTACAAGATAAACATACATAGATCTAAATTGAATGATAAATTGATGAATTGATACATCATTAAATTAATAATTCTTGTTTTGGGATATAACCACCCCTAAACCAAGCCAACCATTTAAAACCATGCAGGTAGAGAAAAGATAGAAATCCAAGCGCCAGATACAACTGGTGTATATAAAGGTTTTCTTAGAGGGCATTCATGAAACAATAATACATCATTAAATCATAATATTTTGTTTGCTAGTTGTCATTTGTCATGTAAAAAGGTTGGCTATAATATAAAACATTTCATTATGATTTTATAAGTAAAATCCCAAACTGTAAGAATCCCAAATGAATGTTAACCAATGTTGGGATTGGAAGGATTGGGATTAGGATGAGGACTAGGAAGTTAGAATAGGTTGGACAGGGATAAATTAGGAATAGATAAAATAGGTTGGGAATTGGGATGGATACCAACTAAAGAGGAAGTTGGGATTGGGATTCAATGAATGTGAGCATGATAAAAGGGTTGGTAAATCGGGAGTTGGAGTAATTGGGAAGATTAAGTAATGAATAGATGTTCTACGGGGACCACAGTATTGGAAAGAGAATCAGCAAGATATAGAAGTTCAGAACAGAGATACAGATATAATAAAATACATGTGTAAAGACTATGGAGAATATGTAGTTTAGTGGGTACAAATGTTAATAAGGGGTGAAGACGACATTTTGGAAGGAATTAGCAGATTACTCTTAAGTTGGGATAAGAGAGAGAAAAGAGTATAAAAATCATCATTAGAATTATTCAATACTCTGAAACAAACCCCTCTGATTTTTGTAGAAGGCCAAAGACCAAAAACCATAAAAAAATAGTTTGGTATTTTCCTATTTTACATATAGTTTACATTATGATTTATGTATGAATCTTCATATACTATACTCTACTTACCCAACAGTTTGATCTTTAGGATCAGCAGCAGGAATTGATAGTTCTACAATAGTATCTTCAGGATCAGCAGCAGGAGTTTCTAGTTCTACAATACTTTCTTCAGGTTCAGCCAACCCACGAGTCCAGTCAACCTAAAGTAAACTGTACATACAACTGAAATTAGGAATACTTTTATGGAAAGGATATCAAGAAGAACATTAGAATTTCTAAAATGTAATCAGATAAATTTGTTTTTCTTATACTTATGCCTGAAATTAAAACTAAAAGATCTGTTAGGTCACAATATTGTTTAGTTTTCTTCTTTTTCTTCACTCCAATAGTTTGAATTTATAATATAACTTGAAGCTGGAATTGCCTGAATAGACACAAAACAGAAGAGAAGGCATATCCCAATGATCTACATGCTTTAAATTTGAATGAACATTTTTCATTACTGCCAGGGTTTTAAAGGGAACCATTTGTCGTAAAATCTCTTTTTTTATTGATTTCTGAGAAATATTTATTGAAATTTAACTATCAAACTAAAATCAAGGTTGTCAGTTTTATGCAACCAAATAAAATTTAATATTAAAAAGATGACAAAAATCATTAAATTTTGAAAAAAAAAAACTATTTATAAAAACTTTGATACAAACTTACTGGAAAAAGTAGTTAAGAGTATTTTCTTCATAATGTGAACAATTTTCCCTTGAAAAATGGGAATTTACATGTGAAACTTTGAAAAAAAAAGATATTTAATTTAACATTTATTGTTTTTAATTAATCATTATATTCTTTGGATAATATTTAAATCATGAATTTATGAATTATGGTTTACTCTAAAAAAAACAATTACAATTAAAACCCCATTAGAATTTAATGATAAATCTAAGGTCGTATCTTAACGGTTTAATATTAAGTCGGGTTTTAAATTTCTGATGGTTCAAATATTGTTTTGTAAAAAGCCAGTTTTAACATGCATTATAAGTTTTTAGGTAAGGAATAATGAGCACTCTTGTAAGAAATAGAAAATTAATTTCTTAATTTACTTTACTTATAAAATACTTAAAAGTGTCTTGTAAGTAAGTCTAGATTCCTAGACTATAAAGTTGAAGATTTTTGCATTTAACTTATTTCAGAAATTAAAGATTTAAGATTTAAACCCGTCATCTTTAATAGTTGTCCAACAATAATTGATTTCTATACATAACCAGATTAAACCGGTTTCATAAACCCAACTCTTAAACGAGTATAATTCACAGCTAAGTCTTGAGTCTTATTTTCCCCTATTTTTCTTATTGCAGGCTCTCAGCTAGATTTTCAAATATATTTAAACTTTGAGAAAATCTGCAAAGTCTGGAAATATAAATCAAAACATGACGGATTTTTTGTTGTGTTGCATTGCTGGTAAATATTGGATTTTCATTTGACGGATCTATCTCCTTAAAACCCTTTTCTGCAATAATCTAGAAAAAGAAAGGAGTAGGTGAAAGGGATGTGGGGGGGGGGGAAGGGTGAAATAGTAAAGTTAAAAAAATCTGCTTCTAAAGTAACCTTCACAGCAGGAAAGTTTTTATTGTATAATTTGGTTATTTATATTTTTAATACAGCATTTTGGATTTTTTGTATACAATGCCAAGTTTTTGAATGATGCACAATGCTGAAAAGGGTTATTTTTTTGACAAGTTTTTGTGCATTACATTTTTGACTAAATAATGCATATTGACAATGTTGTGATTTTAACCATTAAAATTATTTGGTTTAAATTAGTATTTCAGATAGACAACCTTTATTCTAATAGATTTTAAGATTAAGACTTACTTTATTGAAAAAACAATAAATCTATTGTAAGAAAAAAGCCAGAAAATGCCCAAAATCTTTTTTTCAGTAAAATAACAGTTTATGTCATAACTTGCTAAAAAGTTTATATAAATTATTCATAAACTTTATTTTTATCTTCTTCCGCAAGAAAATGTTAGTCAAGGTTTGTAAACAAAATCAAAAGTAAAAGTTAAATTTTTCTAGTTTCAAATTTTTTGGCCTCCTTATAATTATCCAAATTAAATTAAATCTTAACCAAATCCGACTAAGATAATTATCGGATGAAAGGTTAGAAAATTATTAAAGAAAAAGATTATCTGGATTCAAACTGATTAACTGGGAATTAACAGTCCTGAATTTTCCTGCAGATGACAAATTTTTTTCATGAATGTAGAAAATGTCAAATTCTAATGATTTGGAGTAATTAATGATATTTAATGAATCAATAAGAAAAATATATAAAACAAAAACAAAAAAAGTTCTTGATCAATTAGTTCATTTGTGTCCAACAGCAAACCTAAAAGAAACCTAAATTTAATTCAATTCATGAACCTATATCAATAACAGTACAATTCGTATTACATCAGCTCAACATTTTGTTCTGTAATGTGTTTAGTTGTCAGTACAATGATAAAATTATACTGCCATTTTAGGTACAGTTAAACGCTAAATGAGCCATACATTGAAAGAGCTTACCAAATGTCGTCTTGACAAATTTTCAATGGGTTTTATACTATTTTACATAAATCTCAGTATTTGCACAAATAAATAAATAGCCATGAATATGCGGCAGCTTAAAGAGCTCCATATAATCATTTAATTAAAAAACTAAATATCTGCAAGATTCCATCATCAGAAAGTGAAGAATACGAAGTTTGATGAATTCTTTCGATGTACAGCTTATTTAGGGTTTAACAGATGTTTTGCAGCTGAAATCTTTTATCAGCTGTTTATCCACGAATACAAGATGGTGTCTTTTTCAATTCTGTTCAAAAAATATAAAGCAAGTATCTTGATTATTGGAAAAATCATATGAACATCTTATACTAATTTGTTGTCTTTCTAATCTTCATTTATATCAAAGTTTGTTCTGCTTCTAAAAGTGAATATTAGTTTGGGAGAGTTGTAAATGGTTTATTGTGGGTCAAAATGGCGTCATTATAGTCAACTGTTGTCATAAACCTAAATATTGGAAATCCAACACATTTGATGGATAGATATATATTACAGGGATACTCAAGAACCTGGAGATAGTATAAGAAACTGACTGTTCTGAGCTCCCTTGATACCTACACATAGAACCAGATTCAATTGAAAGAATTAACATCTTTCTGAAGAGTTTGGATACTTAAGCGGTCAGTAGCAAAATCTGTATCCAACTAGGTGAAAACCTCCATTCTCTAGGTTGATACAACGATGAACAGGCCTTTAATGTTATTTGTAATACTGTTTTTTTTCTTTTCCATTTGTGTGTAGTGGTGTATACAGGTGATACTAATGCGTAGATCTAAAAGAGATGAACAGAAAACAGATGTACAAGTTGTGTTTGATCAGCAGTGTGAATTATATTGAAATTTCTTTATTTATTGGAAAATTTCCATGATTAATAGCTTGTTGGAAAGGTATTGTTGTTACCTTCAGATTGCATTATAAAAAAATCTGTTGAGTCTTTCACTGGCAATTAAGTAGAACACAATCAGGGTACCCCCTCAAACTAGGGCTGGGCAAAGTTCCGTTAACGAAATGGAGGTTTTCAAAAATTAAAAGAAGAGTCCGTTAAGGAACTGCAAAAACTATCAATTTTATAAATCATAACGGAAATGGATTAGTCGTTTTTGAAAAAAACGGTTAAAAACGTTAACTAAAAAGCCAAAAATGGTAAATTTTGTTATTTTCTGATTAAATTGCAGGAATTTTTTTTAAATTTAAAAATTTTAAGTGATTGGATGTTGATTGTTGATGGTTGACAGCTATTATTGTTATTATCAACTTAAATGACAAATAAAAATTAGAATCTACAAATTGATTAGAAACTTTAGTGTTGGCCTTGTGTTTTTTGTTTCCAAAAGCTTAAATCTCACTTGGTTTTTTCTAAAAACAAATGTTAGTTAGTTTTTAAAATCCATAACGAAACTTAAATAGATCATTTTTCAGGTCGTTTTAATTCTTTGCAAATAAAAGGATTAATACAGAAGTGGCAAATCTGGGAATAATATTACGGAGTGTATAGGCCAGGGTGTGTGATTAGAGGAGTAATTGGGGATGATTAGGGGGTATAGGAGGTTTAGGGGTGGGGGAGAAGAGCTTAGTAAGGGATGATATTAAAGAAAAGAGGGTGAATGAGAATAAAAGAAGGAAAACTGTCAGCATGAATCCCTCAAGAGGGAACATTATTATTTAGTGTATTCACGACTGATCCAAGGTTATACAGCAAAATAATATTATTATTCTTAATTCTTTTTCTTAATGTGACTGTAAGCTTAGTTTCAAGTAACCCTCCCTGAAAAATGACACTGCCTGTTTCACAACATTATGAATGTTATCAATGTTTACAATTCATGAAAAATGATTGTTTTCAATTGAGGTTTCTAAAACACATAAAAGAGTTATCATATGTAAACACTGTAAAATCTAGAAAAAAAAACAATATCTTCCACATTAATACTCAGATAAAGGTTTCAAGGCTCTCTTCCTTGAAATAACTGTGCTGTAGTTAGCGCCAGACGGGTTCAATCTTTAACTGATTGACTAATTTATTTAGAACTTTAAAAAATACGATATGAAGAAAAGAAATATATACAAATACTTTCAGTGGAAATAAAATCTTTACTAGATCGAAAATATGCAATAAACTCTAACATGGATAGATTAAGTTTTAATTCAAACAATACAATGATACAAGCTCATTTCTCATATATAATAATGTAGTAATGCCTAATTAATACCTTAATGTGCCGTAAGCAGATCACAACAATAATACTTGCTGTATCAAAATATCAAGTGTAACTGAGGATAAATGGCGGACACAGTACAGATTTAAGGTAAAGTTTACAATACAAAACTGGTTTTTATTAGATGCTACAGACACAGCTCCTCCCTAGGTTACACAGTACACACAGTACAGATTTAAGGTAAAGTTTACAATACAAAACTGGTTTTGATTAGATGCTACAGACACAGCTCTTCCCTAGGTTACAAAGTACACACAGTACAGATTTAAGGTAAAGTTTACAATACAAAACTGGTTTTGATTAGATGCTACAGACACAGCTCTTCCCTAGGTTACAAAGTACACACAGTACAGATTTAAGGTAAAGTTTACAATACAAAACTGGTTTCGATTAGATGCTACAGACACAGCTCCTCCCTAGAGCCCAAAACTTAAGACAGAGTATCGTTAGTAAAACCAGTTTTAAAACCCGGGTTTCACGAATGGGGTTAGGCACTTTTGTGATTATCAATATTTTTGTAATGACATATTATTTCTTCAGTTTTTTATATTATCCATTTTTTTCGAATCTCTTAAATCAAAATCTACACAAAAGTAAAGACCCCAAAAAGGAAACTCGTGAGTTTTGTTCAACGATTCTCTTTTAAATTTCGGCCTTAGGTTACACAGTACACACAGTACAGATTTAAGGTAAAGTTTACAATACAAAACTGGTTTCGATTAGATGCTACAGACACAGCTCCTCCCTCAACTTCAGGGGTTTCACATCTTCTAAGTGGAGAGCTCAGGGTCAGGGAGTTCAGAACAAGACGATTTCATCGCGAAACAAACCTTTATTTATTTACTTGTTGTTTTTGGTCATGTGAGTTGCAGAACTGATGCAACTGTTTATAAGCAGGCTGAATCTATGTAAGGGCCTCTATTTATCTAATCAGCATGCATAAATAGGGTTGTTAAATATGTCTTTGAAAACGATAAAAAAACCGATTTTTATTCATTTCCTTTTTTCCTTTTTTCAAAATTAGATCGATTTGTTTAACCCTATAAAGGCGGGGGGGGGGGGGGGGGTCTGAATCTATGTATAGAATGGGGGGCATTTGGCGCCCCCCCCCTAGAAAAAGGCCTTAGAGAATAGGTATAGGGTTGAAATGCATGTTCACAGCCCATTTTTTCATGGCCAGCTCAAAGAAAAAAGAATTAGACCAATAACTTTAATAGTTTGGGTGCTAGGGAGGGTTGAAAAAAATGCCTAAATATGTTTACCATATATTGGATAAGTAAAAGCATTTTACAATTTGTTTGATTTGTCCACACTTTTCTATTTTTAACAATCTGCCATAACTTTTGCATATTATTTTTTTTATAATTCAATTTTGCTTTTTTTGCTACTGAAATATGCAGTTGGCAATTGGCACAAACGTCAAAATCAAAAAGGGGCCCGACCGATTTACCATGGCACCCTTAAAACCTTTGCACGGGCATTTGAAATTCCGAGCCGGATCAACCTTTCCGGTCCCAGTTTGTACTATATCGCCCGGACATTGGGTAAATAAAGACACACTCAATAGGACTAGCCGGTGCAACAAGGTTGACGCGGTCAGACTTAAGGTTGAATTTACTTTTACTAAAGGGTCAATATTATTTAAAAGAATCAGAAAATGGCGGTTTACGTTGACAGTTGACAATATATTTATGACTATGAGACAAGGTATATTAAGAGAACAAGAAAACTCTAGAATAGGAAGACGGCATTGACCCTATATAGACTGGGGGAGGATCTGAATCTATGTATAGCCGGGGGACTGAATCTGCCTGGGGGGACTTTTGTCGCCCCCCCCCCCATGAAAAAGGCCTCAGAGAATAGGTATAGGGTTGAAATGCATGTTCTTCAAGGCAAGCTCATAGAAAAAAATTGGACCGATAACTTTAATAGTTTGGGTGCTGGGGAGAATTGAAAAAAATTGGACCGATAACTTCAATAGTTTGGGTGCTAGGGAGGGTTGAAAAAAATTGGACCGATAACTTCAATAGTTTGGGTGCTAGGGAGGGTTGAAAAAAAATGTCTACAAAGGGTAAAAAATATTTATTTTGGTTTAAACAAATATCAAAGTGTGACACATTTTTCTACATGCATTTTTCAAGGGCTTAAAAATATAGTTTTTAGATCTGTAGCTTTAGTCACAAAAAAGTTATGGGATATTTTAGATTTTTTTTCACAGACCAGACTTTTTTTCCGCCCTGTACCCTACCCTATAAATTAGAGAGAAAAAAATTTTAACAAAAAATCCTTTAAATTACCATTCATTAAAAGTCAAAAAATGTTACGTGATAGTGTCAAAAATGAGTGCTAGGACAAGAAAACTACAAGGGGGGCCAAAGGCCCCCCGGCCCCCCCTAGCCTGTATTTGATGCAAAAAATGAGTTAAAATTTGAAAGAAGTTTACAATGCACAATTCTTCTGTCTCATATTCATTTGACTATTTAATGTCATAACTCGAGGTAATCTTTATATTCCAGAGTTTTCTGGTTCTCATCGTAATTTTCTTAAATTTAAGTTCAATCAAAACAGAAAAACATTCAACATTTTTATTTCTATTATTTAGAAATGGACACAACGGAATTGAGCCTTTACCACAAAATCAAATCTTCTAATCCTTATATCCTTGCAACCTAATGTTTTAAACCTTTGATATTTGAAACCTAATCTATTTGATCCATCAGAATTAATAGCTATAAATTTCAATGAAAGATCTACGAAATTGGATTGGAAAGGGTTTATAAAATGATTTCATTCATTTCCATTTTAAATGTATCAATTGAAAATCAATTGAAATATTATTTATTTTATCTGGCAACAAAGGTTTGGAGGATTTAAAAATTGTTTGGTTAAACATTTTTGATCAAAGGAAAGTTTCTTGTTCTTACATCAGATAATTATCAAAATCATAATCTTCATCTTCATCTTTATTCTCATCAGAGTCCTGCTTCTGAACAGCATCAGCTTTTCCGGCTTCAGCAAACACTTCTTCATTATCATCTTCATCAGCATCAGTATCATCTTCAGGATCAGTATCAGCTTCTCCTTCCATTGCAACCAAATCTTCATTATCATCTTCATCATCACTATTCTCTTCCTGATCAGCATCAGCTTCTCCAGCTACAGCAAACACTTTGTCATCTTCATCTTCAGCGTCAGTATTCTCTTTTTGATCAGCATCAGCTCCTTCGTCATTATCATCTTCATCAGCATCAGCATCCTCTTCCTGATCAGCATCAGCTTCTCCAGCTACAGCAAACACTTTATCATTTTCATCTTGATCTTGATCTGGGTCTTCTCCAGCTATGGTAACCACTTCATCATCTTCTTCTTCATCTGGATTCTTATCTTGATCTTCATCTACATAATCGCCAGCATTTTCATTCTCATCAGTGCCATCCTCTTGATCCTTATCAGCTTCTCCAGCTACAGAAACCACTTTTTCATCATCTTCACCATCATCTTCATTCTTATCAGTTCTCTCCTCCTGATCAGAATCTGCTTCTACCTCATTATCTTGATTTTCACCTTCGTCCTTGTCTACATTGATATCCTCATCAGTAAAGGTTTTCGTAGTACAAGGGGTTGATGTTACCAAAATATCATCAGCTTTCTGGCGCATTGGCCTGTTGTCTTCACCTTCATCAAAACTTAAATAAAACCAATCAGAAAAGAAATATTGAACTATAAGGATCCATCTTGAGAGAAACATCTGCAACATATTTTTTAACATTCGTTATGTTTTTTTGTAGGACTCTTTATCCTCAAAGAGTTGGATGTATAATTTTTTTTTATTTAAAACATGCAAAGGACTTTTTAAAAAAATTATACATTTTAAAATTGTTAAATATTCAATAGAAAACACCAAAAGAACACTTTTGAAGATCTACAATAAAAGAGGTTTAGTGAGATAAAAAGTCCCAAAAATAGCATTTTTTAAAAGTCACTAAAAGAGCATTTGTCGAAATAAAAAATCTAAATATTTAAACGTACTTATTATTTTGTAGTTTAGGTCGAGAATTTGCAGAAGCAAAGCAGATAAGCAGACACAGCACAAGACTATTCATGGTTGGATTTGGAATGAGAAGTGATTAATATTCACACCTTTTATTAAGAATAATCTTTAAGAGTTGACTTTTATGGAAATAAAAAAACCAATAAAAATTCACAATTTATTTTGAAGTTTGATTATTAAAACTTGTCATGATATTTAGTTTTTGTGACATTAATATCAATCAATTGTTATAAATTTTTCCAAGTGTTATTTTGTAAATGTTGTCAAAGTTCTGTATTTTTAATCATGAATGGAAAAAAGTGTCAACTGTTATATCAAAAATTAGTTTAGATTTTAAGAAATTTAAAAAGTTGTCCAAAAGTTCTAAATATGTTGTTTTTATGGATATTTTAAGTTGAAGTTTTTTATTCTTTTCTTAATTTATTTAAAATTTTCAAGTTTTCCTAACTCTTTTATATTTCACCCCTTTTGCTTACCTTTTAAGAATTTGTATTCTAACTTTTACCTCCCTCCTTGACAAGGAATTAAAATGTTGTAAAGTAAAACTGTTTTATAAAGAAAAATGATTTAAACAAAATCCTCAAAAGTGTACACGCAATTAGTTTATTAACAAAGATAAAATACACAATTAAACAATATCTGATTATGGCGATTTTATAAAAAAATACCATACTAAAAATGAAAAACAAAGAAAATAAAAGAAAAAAAACGTTTTTATTATTTATTAAATCCTAAATTGATACTTCATTGCTACATCTTTCTTTCTATTTAGGACTCAGGCATATATTGGACCATGATTTCACCATCCAAGAAAAGCTACATAGAGTCAGGCATATTTCTAAATACTTATTACCAAACAAGGTCTGAAGTCAAAATAGTTGGACCAAACCTTGCAACATGACACGGTTTATGGAATGCTATCCAATTGTTAACAGTTTTCAGATCTCAAAGGTAATAAGGTTGATCATAAAACATGAGCCTGTTCTCCTTTTCATTTACTATGAAATAATTTTTACACTTAAAAAGATTAAGAGAAAGGTTTATTAAAAAGACAGTGAACACTTAATTATGTATCCTCCATTATTCAGAGTGCAAGAATACATTATTCAATATATCCCAGAGTCCGAAATTTAAAAGAGTATCGTCGAACGAAACTCCCGAGTGTCCTTTTTGGGATCTTAACATTTTGTAGATTTTGATTCGACAAAAATGGAGAATATAAAGAAACTAAATAAAATAGTATTTCATGACAAAAATATTGATATCCACAAAACTGACTGACCCCATTCGTCAATCCCCCCCCTCTGAGATATCAATGCTTAATGCAAGGGGTGGAACTTACTGGCCTAGTAAATATAAAAAGAGTGTAACATTATCGTAAAATCTTGAGATCAAATCATGTAGACAGGAAACTGTAGAGAGGAGGGAAAGATCAGACGCCAACTTTATTTTCTTCTTTTCTTTAAAATTGTTTTTTTTATGACGTATACTTAGCTAGACAGAGGGTGCAAAGGTCGGATTAATGAGTTATTACTAGTACGACTTTGTACCCTCATAATGAGCTAGATAGAAAGATAGATGATACCACCATGCAATTTCTATTGGTTCATAATAGACACCAAACACATGACTGAACCCTGATTGGATCAGGCGCTAATGTACTCGGCATACGTACACTAGAGTGTAACATAAAGTTTAATTATCTCCATACACTGTAATGTACATTGTACAATGAAATTAATTTACGAGTACAGGAAAAAGTTTAATGTTTATTCTACTTTTTTATACATATTCTATATTTTATACACCAAGTGGAATTTTACAATAATTACAGTGTAACATTGTTCACACCATTGGTAAACCGTTATAAACTATAGGTTTAATCTAATAAATAGTGTTTGCCATAGTTTAATGGATAAAAAATGATCTTTTCTATTTTCAAAACTTTTTCTGTTGCAAAATAGTTTTTAATCCGCAAGTTATTTTTTTTATTTATTTATTTATTTTTAATTGAAAATTATTAATTTTACGACAAAACAAACCGAGGATATCATGAATCGACATGCTTGTCTTTAAAGGGAGTGTTCGCAAAAAATGCTTCTGTAAGGAGAAAATTGATAAAAACGACTTATGCTAAAGAACGATAGCGTCCATACAAATTCAGAAAGTTGCAACATTCAACTCGGATCATAAAGAAATCAAGTTAATTCCAAACAAATCATTCCGATATTACAACTAATAATCATCGATTATTTTCGACTCATTCGTATAATATTTTTTACTTTTTATGATCTGCAGATAGTTACTTTTAAAAAATATTTTATTCCTGTTTCGAGGATTTTTGATAATGAAAACGACATTTTCATTATTTCCAGGAATGTTCGAAAATCCAGGGGTAATTTTTGATTTTTAGCTACAGGGCTGTTCTTTATAACGTTAACAGACCCTTGAAAAATGCAATCCAATGGTGCTATTCAAGTTGTCATATTTTGACACAGGGTGTCTAATAAAAGTGAAAACAGAAGAAAAAATTTGGTTTCCCCATAACTATAAGCAACCTGAGCTGAAAACTTTAGAATGGGATATCCTTAATCCTGATCGGATAATTAATCTGGAGATTAAAAATGAGAGGAGAACAAGCAATATTTAATCTCGAGATTAAGAAAAAGAGTGGATTAAGCATTAATCCCGATATCCACCATTCTAAAGTTTTCAGCTCTGATCAAATATTAAAACAATGGTGTGTTAAAAAGTTATAACAAAAGAAGCATGTTTTTAAAGGAACGTTATCTAATAACTTTGTAACCAGATCGAATATGTCAACAGCAAACAAAGTCCCTTCAAATAATGTAATAACTTAGGTGTACGCAAAACTTTGGCTTCCTATGCCTTTTAGTTTGACTTCCAAGTGGATACATTTTCCTCGCCGTAAAAACCATTCCTCCAGCTCTTGATTTTGATTTTCTCATGATCCAGCTTCATAGAGAATGTAAGATAGGATATATATAAATGTATCAAGGTTTATAGAATGTAATCTCACTTCTCTTGGACGATCTTAAATGGCTTGCAATAGGTCTGTCAAAAAATTTCTATGAACTAGCTCCATTTTCCCCACGTTGCTTCTGTTGCTGCTGAGCCTTGAAGAGTAAAAGGTCAAATGATAAACCCGAGGGCTGCGCCCTCGGGTTTATCATTGAATCCCTCGGGGGTTTAAATTTCCATTGATTCTAATTTGTCTGAGAGTAAATGATACATTGGTTTTAATATCTGAATGATTTGTTTGGAATTTAATTGATTATTTTACGATCCGAGTTGAATGTTGCAACTTTCTGAATTTGTATGGACGCTACGTTCTTCTGAAATGAGCAAACATTTTGGAATAGTTTTACTAGGCTATAGCTGGGACAAAAAAGATAATATTTAGAACCACCCCTTCATGAAAATATTTAGACTACCCCTTCATGAACATATTTTTGAGTAGAAAATTGATAAGAAAGATCTGTAAGGCATAGAAGCGTATCCCCAGACTAATGTTATGAATATTTAAGGAGTTCCTATAAAACTCATTAGGAACAGTTCAAACTCCGGGAATAGGACTAGGATACGACTGTTAGAAATCTTTCAACAACTTTTATTAGAGATATAAAATTCAAGGAGTGAAGGTACGGCTGATAGCTAAAAAACTTGAAATGAGGTTCGTGAAGTTTGATTTTTCATTTTTATTACGCCCTTTTCTGTACATGTAACTGGAATTTTATTTTAAAATATCACAATTCTGTTTCCAATTAACTTGTGTCAAAACAACTTTTCCATTGATTTCCAAATATAATTTCCTTTAACTTTAAGGTGCATGGGTGAGCCGACCTTGAAAAAAACTATGGTTTTCTTTTTGATAAAGATAAAGATTGTATTGTATGTTCATATTTCCAAAAAAAATGTGTATTATTACAATGAATTTCAGTCTTCAAACATAGAGTTTTGTTATTGTTGGTTTGTATAAGGCCCCGCATAATTTGAAAAGTAAATTATAAACTTGTATTCACAAAAATGATAAAATTAATATTTACATTAATTTCACCTAGTTCATGTGTTTAGTGCTGGAAATAAAGATTGAACGCAATAGAACAGAACCGAACATATGCCATAAACTCTTTGCAACCAAAATTCGTGGACCTTTGATACTTTAGATCGCAATTTGAAATAAAAAGGGTTTTACACCATCAGTTTGCAAATATATAGGAATTAGAAAATTAAAATTTGTGGCAAATGATCAGTTTAACTAAACCCTGCACTTGATTTAAATAAAAGTAAAACCCAAATCTGATTCTAATTCAATTACTACAATTTGCGAAAAATGTACAAATTTGTGAAAAAATGTACAACAAAAATTACAATATTTGTACAAATTATTATTACAAAATTTGTCGAAAAATAAATCTTTAAATTTTTTCTATTTTTGTAAGATTTGGTTTAACGAATATTTTATTCTTACTTTTAAGTTATACCTACTATTTACAGGGGTAGAGTTCTATATACAATCATTAGTTCAGTTTGAGTTCAATTAAAGCATGAGCCTAACATATATGAATGATTATGCATTACGGGGTTTGTCTAATAATTATTATACAACTATTAATTTGTCAAATAATCAATATGGTTCCGACAAAAACAAAATTATTAGAACTAAAGAAAATATTATTATAAATGTTTAATTGTGTGTTTAATGAATATTTTTAATAAAATAAAAGAATCACATGAAATTAGAGATTTTTGGCGGCCAAAACTCATTATAAAATTGATTGTACAGAGCTGAAAACTTTATAATGGTGGATATCAAGATTAATATGCTTGATCCTCTCTTTTCTTTAATATCGAGACTAACCTAATCTTATACTTGTATATCCTTAAAAGTGAATAAAATTCAACCAATCAGAGTCGCGTATATATGAAGTCGAAAAATTTAAAATTTTGCGCGCCAGTTAAGATTAATATACAGAAACAAGGAGGGACTCTCTTATTTTGAAAAACCGGTTTTTGATTTTTCTCTCCTATATCCAAGAAAGAACGGTTTAAGAGGAAAATCAAAAGTG